TCATACAATAAGAATAAATGATAAAAAATTTTTTTGTATTTTAAAAAATCAATAACTGACAAAATCAAAAGGCAGATATGCTGCTTTTTTCTCATTTCATTTTAAATCAAGAAATACATGATTATTCAGAAGTCATTCTATAAATCTAAATGATTTGGAAACAAATTTAACATTAACACAGTTAAAACAAAATGTGCCAAAGATAATTAGCTAACCTATTGTAATAGCAAGAGAAATAACTGTAAACTGTTTAAAAACAAAACGCATGAAAAAATTATATTTTTACACAATTTTTCTGTATTATTTGATACAGAAAGTAATATACAGTCAAAAGTCGTTAATTCAGACACCCATAATCCGGACCTCAAAGCTACAAACTTTCTGCGCATGCGTCAAAGCGAACATGCGTGTGCGCAAAATACGTTTACCAATGCACGTTTAATGTATAACGGACGCTATAAGCTAAGCTAAAATTATCTAATTCAGTTAATGTAGCGGACTGCGCTGCTCCCTAATTTTTTAGTTTGGATTCCAGCTTATTATTTTTTGCAGACTGCTAGAGCAATTTTATAAAAACTTAGCTTGAACTTTCGACTATGTCAAAAAGAGTTTCCAATTCTGGAGCTGCCAAAAAATCTACAAAGCGAAATCATGTTTTGAATGTCCATTAAACAAAAAGTGGAATTGCTGCTAAAGATGGATAAATTCATATCCTTTGTTTATCTAATCGTTTGTTTATCTTTAATGCCGCGGCACACGATAAATTGGAAGATGATCTGTCAGCACTATCCTTATCTTCTGGGCAGATGTTTTCATTTTATTTGGCTTGTTATTCCTCACTAAGTGTAGTATTCTATCTTGATGTACCCCGTCTTTAATATGATTTAAATCAAATTCCTCGTCATTATAATTCGCTTCCGATAGCGAAGAAAGTGACAGAGGTTATTGAAAACGAAAAAATTTCGATTGACAATATCGGTCTTCTCGACACAGCAATTATAGGACTTGAACAGAGGAACTTTGTAACTGAACAGAAATTATGTCTGTTTATATAGAATTAAAAGAGAATATCACATAAAAAACAAAGCAACTTAAACAACTTATATTGAAAGAAATGTTTTAATAAGTAGACAAATAAATATTAAGCTTTTTTTTTTTTTTTTTTTTTGTAAATTTTGATACCCTTAGATCATAATTGTTCTTCATTTCATAAATTACGGTTTCATATATTTAATTTTATAATTTCTGCATGCCATCTTACCAGATTTAAACTGATGATCTATAATCCGGAAAAATCGATAATCCGGTATCGCCGAAGTCCCGACGAGTCCGGATTAACGACTTTTGACTGTATATTGAGGTAGACAAAATTGAATTTTATGCAGTACATTAATTTTCATTTCAGATAAAAACATGCATTTAACAATATACATCTTGATCTAGGAAGCCTACAGATCACCTTTCGTACGTGCCTTAAAACTGTGGTATCACCTTATATGGGCATGCCTTACAAAAGTGCATTTACTGTTTATACAGTCCATGCTTATTGTTTGTTTTTTTTTTTTCATTATAGTGATTATGGAAAGGTACAAAAAATCCTAACTTGATGACATATTAAAAATCCATTTATAGCAACTGCTTCAGTATTCTTCTGTTATTGGGACCGAATTCAGAAATGTATGCATTTCAGAAATGCAAGTGTGTATGTATGTATGTGCATATATCTGTGTAGGTATGCATACATACATACATACATTTCTGAATTCGGTCTCAATAACAGAAGAATACCATTGCTTCTTATAATAACTACTCGTGTAATGAGCATCAACTTTATTGCTTTCATTATTACATTGTAGCCTAAAAGCAGATTTAATTAATAAACCTTAAACCAGTATTAACTTCACATACCTAGTACTTCTTTAATGTGTGTATTTTTCCAACAGTAATACAGTATTAATAATTACAGCGCTTTTTAAAATACAAAATACACTATTAGAATAATCTATTTGTCAATGAAACAAATTTTATATATGCACATGAATATAATTAAAAATACAGAAGTTGTAATATCTTGACCGTCAAGTTTATTTAACCTTTAGCTTACCAACAAGTTCAAAAGAGTACTTAGAACTAAATTCACAGCAAAGTTATCAAGATATCTAGTTTCACTCAAGCAACAAAACAAAAACAAAAAACCCTATTTATGCAGCTGAGGTAGACTGAGGGATTTGTTTCAAATACTAATCTCACAATGAGTTAAACAACCTTGTTTTATTACAGAAGAGTGTAAATTTCAGTCATCAGAAAAAAATGTAATCAATTAAATTCTTAGGATTTTTTTTACTCAAGTAATTTTTATTACCAGAATATTCGTTGAATGAATAATTTAGGAACAACACAACCTGTTTTGGGAAATAATCTGTTAATTAGTGCAACATTAATAATAAGATTTTTCTTCATGTGGGTTTATTTAAGAAATATAATACAAATTATACTAACATTTTCCTGCATTATATAACAAGAAAAATTAAATATAAAAATTAATATCCATAAAAATTATTTTATTTTATTTAAAAATTATTTTATTTTTTTTATTTATTTCAAACAGTTTTGCCACTGCTCGCTTTCAAATCATTGAGTTTGTTAATAAAAAATTTATTAAAGTTTTACAAAATTTGAAATGAATAATAAAACAAATTCAAAATTCAGACTTCCAGATGTATATGTTTAGGTAAAGGATATCATTATTGAAAATTTGATAGCTCTAGGTACTGTTGTTTCACAATAAGCTACTAAATATACTTTTCATAGAATCAATAAGCTACTAAATATACTTTTCATAGAATCTGAGAACAAATAAGGCTTCCATACTGTTCTTGTACATTTTTTAGAATGATATATATATTTATGAACAATTATGCAAATGTTAAATCAACAGCATGGAAATACATAAAAATACATTTAAACAAATAAGAATACAGGGACAACACATACAAACACATAAGTCTCTCTTTCTTAATGTAATATTGTACAGTTCTTAAATATAATACTTTATTTAACTATCTTTACAAATCAGTCTTATTTCAATAACAAAACTATGAATACATTTACAGGAATCGTGTGAAATCAAAATTAGTCACATGACTCACAAAGCACATGATTAACTCACACATGAAAGGAAAAAAAAAAAAAAATATATAAATAAAATAAAATAAAATAAAATAAACAGCAGCATTAAGTTACAGATGCAGATTATGCTTTTCATTACACAATTAAAGCAAATGTTTTGACTTGCATTACATAATAATTCAGAAACACTAAGCAACAACATATAATTAAAAAAAATTAAAATCAAATAAAACATTTACTACACATTTAATAAAGAATAAATCATAGCAGTTTTCTATAGCAATATATGTACATGGATCGGTGAAAAGTGAGCACTTTTAGAAACCAAGGTCCAAATGATATGCAATTATTCCTTACACTGAACTACAAAACACTTACAATAAAGGAATTTGATCAAATTTCTTATTCAGACAAATAATTCATATCTAGAATAAGTTTACACATAAATGAAAAATAAATTCTTAAATATACACAGATTTAAATTCATAGATAAGAAGTAGAATATTATCAACAAACACAATGTTTTAAAAATTAAAATTATTTAGAGAACAAATACACTCAGGAAATAGAAGCTATACAGTTATAAAACGATATGTATAAAATAATATATAACTAACACAAAAAGTATTTTTATAACAAATAAAAAAAAAATATATCAGTTTTTGTACATTTAAGTGTAAAAATCTGGAAGACATAAAAAAAAAAAAAAAAAAAAAAAAAAAAAAAAATTTGAATAGGAACATTCATACAAACTAAAAGTTTTAGAAATCTAAAATTTTCTACTTAGTCTCAAGGTAACTAAAATGTTGTATAAATTTAAAGCACATGCATCTTCAAGTGCTTAGAAAGAAAAATGTTATTTCAGAATAGTGTTTAAGGAAAATCTTAAAAATTCAGATTTTAATGGTCGCCCAAAAAGGGTTTGTTAAGGATTTTTCCACTCTTACTGAGCTCATAGTCTACTAATCACTGCTTTCAGCTCTTTTCTTTTCTTTTTTTTGTCTTTTTAGCTTTATTATTAAATCATTGTTTTCTTCACACTTATGCCACATCTAGTTCAACAGCGAAATCACAAAATTTTTAACAGAAGCATATGTTTAGAATTCCCTTTACAGTATTATATGTTCGCACACATTTTTCTATTCCCCCCCCCCCAGTCTTTTCTCAGTTCATCATACCAATGTTCAGTTTTCTTAGCGAAACAGCTTAAAAAAAAAAAAAAAAAAAAAAAAAAAAAAAAAAAAAAAAAAAAAAATTTGTTTGTCTTTTGACTATTAACTTTTTGCATGTTAATTTTATTTATTAAATATCACATTCCTTACATTTACACCACAAATTCAACAGCACATTCACAAAATATTTAAAAACAGCATATCTTTTAGAATTCCCAATAGAGTGTTAGAAGCTGCCATATATATTTTTGTATTCGCTATATTATTTCTTTAAAAATTAGCCACAGCTTACTAAAATAGTTATATAAAAAAGTAAAAGTATATAATGATTTCAGTGAGTCTAGATAGTGTAATTTCATAAAAATATTGAATATTTCTAATTAGACATCTCATAATTCTAATACGTCTTTATTTAAGTCAATCCTATTAAAAAGTAGAAAATATATTCTTCAGAAGTGTGTTCACTTTCAAATTGCTTAGTTTATTACTCATAACATTTTCAGATGAAATTTGAATGAATCTTAGGCTCTACTGAATGGCAACATTCAGTAGAGCCTGGAGTGGCATATGGAAGATAAAAATATTTTATTTCTGGTCACATTGCTTTCATAGAGGTAAGTTTGTTAATTAAAACTGAAAGATGAATATCTTAAATTTTTCTTGTATGGCAACAGTGTCACATGCTGAACACAAAAATGTTTTATTTCAAACAGTTTTGCCACTGCTCGATTTCAAATCATTGAGTTTGTTAATAAAAAATTTATTAAAGTTTTACAAAATTTGAAATGAATAATAAAACAAATTCAAAATTCAGATTTCCAGATGTATATGTTTAGGTAAAGGATATCATTATTGAAAATTTGATAGCTCTAGGTACTGTTGTTTCACAATACGAGGAACATACATGCATAAGTGTAGATTCTTTTGATAATTAATTTCTTTAAAAATAATACAGGGCGATACAATTTGTTGGCAACAATGTGAAAAGTGAATGAGCCATATGAAGTGAATTGACATTTATAGCGATATGCTCCAAATCCCATTTCCAGACTAATATCCCCTTTTGAGCTAACAAGTACTAGTAAAATTATACATAATGATAAAAAGAAGTTGTAGAAACATAGCAATAATGTATAGATGGATAGTAGAGACATGGGCATAATTAAAAATGCTATTTAAATTTAATCAATATTTTAAAACCTCAGTACAATAAAGTTTCTGTAACTGCAAGTAACACACTCCTTGTTCTGTATGAAGGGTAATATCAAATAATGCATCTCATATTACCATGTAACATACATACTTGTAATACAGTTTGATTAATAAATAATGTACAGTAAGGCATTACTTAACATTTAATAAAGAAATAAAGTGTATCATAAGTAGCTTTAATATATTTACAGTGATTTTTCTTTTCTTCCATGGGTATGAAAGAAAGGGATACTGATATCTTAACTTAATCTCCAAGAGAGAGAGAAAAAAAAAAAAAAAAAAAAAAAAAAAAAAAAACTGCATTGTGCTACATTATAATATGCACAGCTTCAAGGAATTACAAAGCAATGAAAATTATATTTTCCAACAAAGTACTCCATAAGTAATGGAAGATCAGTTAGAATCCCATCTCCATATTTGGGGTTGCAGTAAGGATTACCAAGGGAAGACTATATTGGATGTATTTTGTCATATAACAGCTTGTTTGCTTTTGGCACTAATTATTATCTTGTGTATTATATGATACGCAAGATAACTGAAACTCTACATATTTCATCAGTTGATATAGTAGCATGAGAGTGCCAAGATTTTAAAAATGGAATGAACAAAAATACTGTTACTTATGTTTAGTTTTAGTTTGAAATCAAAGCAAAAAAGAAAGGTTGTTCAGTTACTGGGCAGTTAAAAAACAAAAGGTCTTAGAAATTATAACAGATATTTATGATGATTTTTGATATTTTCATTAAGATTTTATTAAAAATGAATCTGACTGTATAATTTCCCTCCCCTCTTTTCACTTGCTAAAATAACTTATGGCAAAAAAATGGTTGGAAAATATTCGATACTGTGTTCATTCCATTTCAATTTACTGATATTTAAAATTTTATGAAATAACCATTGAAACAGTAAATTATACTTTCTTATTCATCATCTGCTTTCATGATTCTTCCAATTATTAAAAAAAAGTTTCAATTACGACAGATAAAGACATCATTACGACAGATAACAGAAATGAGCCAAGGTATAAAAAATTTACATTTTCCTTTTTTTTCTCATTGTAGGAAGTAAACAAATTCCAAGAATGTTAACAGCTTCAGTTGTAGAAACCATGAAAACTGAATGAAAGTACAGTTTAATTATATATATAATTGACTAAATTTAGTTAATTATATTCTGATGCTGGAACAGTCATTGTTTATTAAGAAATTTTTAGCCTGAAGTAGATAGACATACAAGATTACAAATACTCCTAAGAATCAAAAACTGTGCAAAGGCAAATAGATATTTCACTATAGAAAAGAAGTATTCAAGAGCTTTTTGCTGTGTAGAATGACTTCAAAGAAGATTTTCTCAGAAAGACTGTCTTATATTCATTTTGCACATATAGGAAGCCACAAAAGAAATCAAGCAGCCAATAACATTTACCAGACAAAAACCAGACTAAAAATTCCCAGTGTTCAATAGTCTCACTGAGTTGCTAACAAGATTCTAGACAAAGTTTGCCAACATTAATAATTGAAAAGCACATCCACTAAATGCACCACAGGGCTTTCTGAAATTAAAATGTCTACTAGGTGGCCAAGTGATAAAATTACTGAATGAAATTACTGCAAATTAAATTGCTAGTGGCTTCATGAAATGTGGTTTTTCATCACGCTCCTTATGTTTAAAATGTTTATGCAATAAATTTTCTCAGGAAAATCATTAACGGAGTACACTTCCTTACAGAGCCATGAAAAAATACCTATATACTTTTTTTTATTTTGATAACACCTTCATTTCCAATTTTCTGTGAACAATAAAAATACAAAAAATTCAAAATTTACATTATGCATAACAGAAAGATTGATTTATCATAAAATTTACTGTGATCAAGTATCCCTCATTTCATTTACTACCTTAGTATAGGTATATCAGACAAGACGGGAGAGTTTTCCCAATGTTTTGGCTTATTTTACAAATAATAATAATACTTTACACACACAAAAAAAGGGGGGATGAAATTTACATTCTACTAAAAATCAACAACAGAATAACATTTTACAACAAGAAGAAAAAAAAAAGAACATAAATTTATGCCAAAAAAATAATTAAAAAAACTGATGCCTTAAGTGGACAGAAGAAACACACAGAAATCAAATACACACAATATAAACTAAAAATTAACATTTCTAAAAATCAACATACAGTGCAGCATACACTAAAATGGAATGACCAGGAATGAGCAAATAAAACTGTGAATATTAAATAAAAGAATGATATGGCAGGCATGCAATAAAACATTAATTGGCACTATATATTATCACACACAACCTAATTATGCTACTGGAAGCTTACTTTTATTAATTAAATACAGATAAAATGGTCGCAGCATTCCCAAATAAAATAGCATAAACACTATTCCAAGGAAAAAACACACAAAATGTACTATTACAATAGGAAGATGGTAAAAATAATCCCCTACAGCTAAGAAATATGCTGATAATATCATACAAATATTCTGGCTGAATGTAAAAGCATAATATAAGATATAGAGTCCAATAACTTTTCCCAGTGTTCCAAAATCAACTTTATATTCTACAAAGCAAAATATATATACAAAACCCATGAATATAGCTATTATAAAATTATTAAGTGAATAACTAGGATGGTTAAAAATCAGACAAGTTGATAAAGTGGCAGCATGAATGGCACATATGACAAAAACCCAATATTTGAAAACAGAAGCAAAAAATGCAAGCGCAAGAACTCGTGAAGCAATAGAAAACAGCCACCATAAATATTCCACTATGACACAACATAAATCATTTACTTCAGGACTTTGTTCTGATCTTGCTGTTCTGCTAGGATGATGCTTACTGTTGACCTCAAAATGAACAATGACAACAGTCAAAGCATTAAGTGAAAAGATGATGGACACAATTTCAGCAATAACTACAAAGTAAGATAATGAAAATGATTAAACTTTAAGCAAGAATTTTAGAAAAGGTGTAATATACATCTTATAAACCTATCATGTACTTATGTATTAACGCAACCACCTTAGTAGAAGTTGCCAAATTTTCAGAATGTAACAAACTCTGGTAAGCATGTGCACTGAAAAAAAAAAGAAAGAAAGAAAGAAAGAAAAGAGACAGTTCTATATCTCTTCATTCTGCAGGGCTGACTGATGAAATTCAAATTGCGTTTTTCATATCTCAAAAGCACGACTTAGGATATGTATTAGATTTATATGTAGTGTTGCTGTAATATAGGTATTTCGAGACAAAATTGGACTTTTTCTGAAATGACATACCTATTTTTTCCCATATTTCGATTCTACGACTCAAATTATGTGAAACTGTTAAGTTTTGTAAAAATCGCACAAGTAGTTTTTAAAAAAATAGCTCTCAAAATTTTAGCTCCTCAGTGTTAATTGAATCTGATATATATAGTTATTAATATCTCTTTTTTATTAAACTCCTTTCATTCATTTTCCAGAATTCGAAATTTAGGCTTAACCTAAATATAATTCGCACATTTTTAATAATTTATTATTAAAATTTGTATTTTAAAATATATTTATAAAGTTTTTGAAAAAAATTTTGTATTACAACCTACAAAATTTTTAACATCATCCTAAAGTAGATGTATTTGGCACACCTGCAGAAAATTACAGTTCTTTATTCAAAATTTCTAAGATAAGATCTACATGAATTTACATATTAGAGCGTTTTAAAATTTGGCACATTTTTTTAGCAATAATAACGCCAAACGATAATACACACTTTTTTTAAAATTATTTGAGAGTATGAAGGACTTTTACCCTTTCATTTACAATGTATAAAAGAAAAGGAAACAAAACTATAAATTGGATTGCTATAAATTAAGCAGTTCATCAAGTAAATTATTTTTGGTGAAAACTGAAAAAATACCCAAAATAAATTTTTTAATTTCTCCGTAAACTTTGCACCAAATTTTATAACATTTTATATTTAGGCATAATTTGAGTTGTAGAATCGAAATATGGAAAAAAATTGGCATGTCATTTCAGAAAAAGTTCGATTTTGTGTCAAAATACCTATGTTAGAATGATGCTATATATAAATTTAATATATATCCTTAAGTCGCACTTTCGAGACATGAAAAATGCAAGTTGAATTTGTCAATCACCCCTTTAAAACAGGAGATATAGGACTGTCCCATTTCCCTCCCCCCCACAGTGTACGTAATTTGAGAAATGTTTTTTACATGAATCGAGAGAAAAAAAATTTCATTCTGATGTTTGTTCTATTAAAAAAATATGGAATTTGCTGACAATGGAAGAAACTGCAGTAAAATTTCTGCAGGAATACAGAATTTTACTAAAAATTTTCTAAAGATGATGATGAAGAAATGCATTTTCTGGATAACTGCTGTCGCTGAGGTTTGCATGAAGCCGAGTGTCCACCATTCTCTGACTTCGCTGTGCATTTTTGAAACGTGAAAAATTACAGAAAAGATTTGAAGAAGAATATAAGTGCTTTATTTTTTTAATGCATCATGTAATCCTTATTTAATAATTCAACTTTGTATTTTAAATTGCTAAAGTGCATTTTCTTTTCATATCTCGATAATGTTTACCGACTTACTGATATATAGTGAGAGTTTGGAAATCTAAAAAAAAAAAAAAAAATCTTACACTTGGTAAGCAACTTTTATCTTTTCATCAGTAAAAAAAAAATCGACAAATTGCGCCAAAATGATTGCGTTAATATGTAAGTACCAGCCCGTCAATTAGATATTTTCAAATAATACAGATTAAGCTACTTTACATTTAACTATTTTAAATGCTCAAAAACTTCATCATTGTAATTTAAATATGTCTAATTTACACACAAATGAACAGACAAAATTGTTTTACAATGAGTACATTTTCCTTGCTAACAAGATTTATTAACCATACACACAAAAAGGGTGAGTGGCAGGATTCCTAAATTAAAACATAATTTATAGTGATTTTGTATGTTATGGAAAAACTGAGTAACTGGTAAAAAGTTTTGCTTTGGTATTCTAAGAAAGAAGGAAGAGATTGAGGATAAATTATTTGCTAAGATTGAGAAGGACTAGAAAAATAGTTTTAAAAAAAGTTTATAGTATAGAATAGGTATATTAATACAGCATTTCCATAACTTTTTCATTGAGGGACACTTTTAAATTCTAAAATCGTTAAAGAACCCAGATTAAATTTGAGTTTTTAGTTACAATACATGATAACACAGATATATTAAATAAAACAAAATAAACACTTATTCCAGTTTTTATATAAAAGAAATGCTTTTAAATTTGTAATTTTACAAGGAATGAGATATAAAATAAATCAAGTAATATAAAAAATTACACACTTCCCCTTTTTTTCAGTTTTCAATGTTTCTGATGTACTTGAGTCTTTGAATTATGAATTCGGTATAATGTCAGAAACCTGAATTCGTATACCAGATGCAGCATTAAGTCAGTTTCCATATTTGAATTTTGTTACAGCATAATGTAAAAAACCTACCTAATACAAATACATTATTGCAAAAGGAAGTGAAATTTTTATTTTCTCTTTAAATTTCTTTTAATTATATAAAAGCAGACAACATTTCATTATTTTCTAATCTGTTTCAAGAATTTTTTTAAGAATACTTTGTGACTGTTTGTGGAACACCAGTATTCCAGAGATTATAATTTTAAAATGCTGTATTAATAAATGTCCTATGAATCAAGTTTCGAGTTTAATATGTTTATCTTGAGATCATTGCTAACATTTTCACAACTGATCAATAATGTTATAGTACTAAATGAACTAGTTTTGAAAACTAACAAGTATACATAAGAAGGTTTTTTTCCCCCAGCCCATACGAAGAAAACAAAACAAAACAAAAAAAAAAAAAAAAAAAAAGGTTAAAAACTGTTTATTCTAAAAATAAAGATGAATTCTGATTAACTGTAGTATAGTTAGAATATATCATTAATTATTAATTTAAGTAGGTAATTTAGGGGTAGTGGTAATTAACTGTAGTTATAGTTAATGATATATTACCACTACCCCCCTCCCCCCCCAAAAAAAAACACCTTACAAGCTAAAGTCTCTACTTCACTGCACACAATAAAAGTTAAGTGTAATTATTACAGTGGATGTCTGTGAAAGGCATTTAAATTTGTCAACATGACCTTAAAATGGTACTAATTGTTACAAAAGAAGGATACTGGCTGGATGTGCATGTTTTTTCTTGTGGTCTCTTGTCTTTGAAGTTATTGCGCTTTGGTGACATTTAATATTGCAGTAAAATATATGAATGGTTTTTCAAAATGTATTTTCTAATGGCCTTGATTTTAAAATCCATACACAATGTACTATTACTTATAAACCAAGAAACATTGGCTATTTCTCCAAGGGCTTTAATTTCCAGAATTTGTATTTTGTAAAGAATTGCTTTTACATGTTCGTATTATATAATTACAGCAAGATTACTCAAAGAAAATATAAAACTCTTTATAATACAAACTGATATGTCCACAGATGACATATAAATGTATTAAACCTAAGTATTTTATGATCAACTGTTGAAGATGAATAATATATTATCAAACATTTTAATGAAAAATATGATGGGTAAAATGCTACTAACTAAAAAGACATTTGAAACACGTGGATAGTTAAACTAAAATGGCAAATTATTTATATAATTTTATGAAATGAGAAATCTGAAATTCTAGTGATAATTTTTCAAACATAAAAGAAATATGCAAATTCTTAGAAGTATTTGACATGATATATATAAAAGTCATGTAGTTATATGCAGTATTTTCAAAAATATCCTTAATTATATTCAAGTGAAAAGAGAATCAGTCATGGTTTCTGATCACCATCATGCATTAGTACGAATAATTAAAATTGTTTAGTTGCACAAAGAACAAATTTTGAAATAAATAAATAAAGCTCTGTGTAACATTTATAATGTTAGAAGTCGGCAATATAACTTCAGACAAGTTGTAAAAACTGATAATTTTCACTTAACAGTAACTTTATATTGTATAAGTCAGATTATTTAACTATATATAATATGACTTTAATTATAAAATATGGCTTTAATAAAAAATTATGCTTTTAAACCACTTTCATTACATTTTGTAATTTTCTGAAAACTTAAGTGGGTTCAAATTCTAGCAGGAGAAAAAAGCTTTTATTTAGCATAGTGTTTATAAATATGATGGGAAAAATTAATAATTATTGTGCATATAATCAATGGATAAACTTGAGAATATACTACTAACAGATTTTAAATTTAAAAAAATTATCTACTGAAAGTAATTACATTTAAAAAAAAATACTACAGTTGTCTATAATCCATTAAAACAATACAGATCACAGAAAAAATAACCAGGAAAATTCTACTAAAAATTACTTGAGAGAAGCACAATTTGCATACTTTGAGTTCCATTAACAAATGACAAAATTCACTATCTTACTGTTTTTTATGAGATTAACAATTATTCTAAAACTACATTTAAAAAAGATAATAAAGATTCAGATAAATAAAAAATTGGAAGTTTTACTGTGTGATTGGTATAAGATATGTTAAGTAAATTTGCAGCTAAAGGAAAAGTTCAGAAATTTTCCAAATCAGTTATATATTATGTTGAATTTAAATCTTTTTATATGAAGTACGATCACAGTGATCATACTGTACGAGTTCCATTGCATACTAAGGTTCTGTTATGAAAGATAAATTTTTAAATATAATTATATTCTCATATATTTCATATATAGTAAATAAAAAGTTGTTAAGCAAACACTGCTGCAATTTAAATATGTAATTCTGTGGTAGCACCCACTACTTTAGCAATTTATATAAATAAATATTTGGATACGTTGCTTTCAGTTCTAATGCAAGTATTTCCTTCTATGAAAGTTTCCATATGAAAAAAGT